GCGGCACGAGCTAGGGTAACAGTGTGCGCTTGAAACTGGAAAGATCGACAGTCGGGAAAACTTTTCTCAGATCAGGTACGAGCCTTCTAGAACGACCAGATAAGACTACAAACGTACGACGCGTCGAAAAGTTACGTAACTCAAAACACGAAAAGTTTCAAAAGCACAGGTCGCAAAGTTATGACCATTTCATAAGTATTGCAGAAACGATGTCCTGAATCCTTTACAGCAGCTCATTATTCATTAATTACGGAATGATTGCTCTTTCAGAAACCTGGTTGAATAGTAACGTCGAAGTTTCTAATTTACTTGGAGATTTGGTTTTGGGCTACGGAATTTTTAGGTGTGATAGGCAAAGAAAAAAGGGTGGGGGTGTCCTACTATTGATCAAACATACTCTCTGTCCTATTTTGATTTTTGGTGAGGCTGTGCAAGGTGGATACGAGGTAATTGCTGCAGATCTATATGTGGATGGAGACAAGTGTAGAGTAATCTTGTGTTACAAATCTCCTAGTTGCTCAAGTGAGACATGTGATATGATGATTAAATGCATTAGTGACCTATGCGCCGGTGTAGAGGTTTGCCTTCTCCTTGGTGATTTCAACTTCCCCGACATAGACTGGTCCAGAGCGGATTCCTCAGGGCTTGGCGTTTCACAGAAGTTTTTGAATTGGTAAGAAATAATGGATTCCACCAGTTCGTGGATAGAGGAACAAGGGGTGACAGTATTTTAGATTTATTATTTTGCACTGAGCGTACCTTGGTCAATGGGGTCACAGTGGATCCTCCGATTGGCTCCAGTGACCATGCTTGCATTGAATTTCACGTAAGGCTTTGCGGTAGGGAAAGTAAACCTTCTCTCAGGCGAGACTTCAGAAAAGCCGACTTCAGTCTGATTTGCTCTTACCTGGACTCCATCGACTGGTATGGATCTTTCTGTAGTCTCAGCGTCAATGAAATGTATGAAATGATGCTGTTTATCCTTAGAGATTGTATTGAAAAGTTTGTTCCATTGCGTAGGGTTGGGAATAGCAAGGTGCATATCCCGCGATATCTTCACTCATTCTTCAGGAAGGTAGAGTCATATAGGAAGGCTGTGTCTTCAAATACATACAGTGATTGGCAAGCTTATAAAGTCATAACAGAGAAGTTCGAGAAAAAGATGTATAAGTACAATTGTCTTGTGGAAAAAAGAATCATTGAAAATGGAAGTAATTTCGCTCTTTTCAAATATATCAATTCTAAGACGAAATCGAAGGAAAGGTTGCCCGCCTTGGTCAAGCCTGATGGATCTGCTGTGGTCTCTGATGAAGCAAAGGCGGAACATTTTGCAGAAATATTTCAAAGTGTTTTTGTAAAAGAGACTGTCAACGTGGAAAGTAATGTTCAGTGGACTGGTTGTTTCCCTCAAATGCAGGATTCTTTATGGTTTAGTGAGCAAGAAATATCGGAGCTTTTGTCAAAGTGGAGCTCTAGTTACTCGACCACTCCAGATGGTATTCCTCTTTGCTTCATCAAGAGAGTTCTGCCATCAATTGTCGGCCCGTTACAGTTCATCTTCAATTTAAGTCTCTTTCGGGCGGAGGTTCCTGATAGGTGGAAGCACTCCTATATCACACCTATTCCAAGAAACCTCCTCATTATATCTCCACTAACTATAGACCAGTCAGCATTACTTCCATTTTTTGCAGGTTTTCGAAAAGGTTGTTAAGGGTAATTACAGCTCATTTGGAAGAGAATAAGATTCTTTCGGATAGTCAGCATGGGTTTAGGAGTGGGAGGTCTACTGTGACTCAAATGCTTGAATCCTTAAACGATTGGACCGCGGCTACAGATGAAAAAAAGGAGGTTGACGTGATTTACTTTGATTTTTGTAAGGCGTTCGACAAGGTCAATCACGCAAAACTAGTTATGAAGCTGAGACATGTTGGTGTCCATCAAAGAATTGTGTCATGGATCGCTTCCTTCCTTGAGCGAAAGATCATTTCAAGTGCGCATTAATGAAACATTCTCTAGTACAAGGTTGGCTCCTAGCGGGGTTCCGCAGGGTGCGTCCTTTCACCATTATTGTTTTGCATTTATACGTTCGAGTTACCTCGTATAGTCGAAGCAATGGGCGTTAGTTGTAAGGTGTTCGCCGATGACATCAAAATCTATAAATCCTTGGCGGTAGAAGATGACACGACTAAGTTGCAAGATGCAATTGATGCAGTTGCTAGATACTCGAAGTCATGGGAACTGCCCCTAGCGTACGAAAAAACTTCAGTTCTACACTTAGGAAGATCCCGATCTAGCAACAATTATTCTATTGATGGACAACAACTTAAAAGTGTAGAAGAAGTAAGGGATTTGGGTTTCATTATTGATCGCAAACTAACGTTTAATTCCCACTGCATGGCAATAGCGAACAAAGCAGAGAAGAGGCTATTCCAGCTGCTGAGAGGCTTGCATACGAGGGACCCTTGCATACTCATTAGGGCGTACAAAGCATATGTCCGTCCTATTGTTGAATATGGATCTGCGGTCTTCTACCCCAATAGCAGGAGGGCCAGCAATAGGCTGGAATCTGTGCAGAACAGCTTCACCAGGAAAATTCTAACTAGGGCTCTGGGGTTCGTCTATAGTGCTATACCAAGAAGTACTGTTAGGAATAAGATGCTTGGAATCGAATCACTTCTCCAAAGGAGGAAAAAGAATGACCTTATAACGTTGTTCAAAGTACTGACAGGAAGATCGGTGGTTGATTTAAAAGGCACGCTCACCCTTTGTCCGTCCAACACCAGAGGGGATAAATTTAAACTCCTTTTCCCTAGGGCTAGATCAAATGTCAGAGCAAAGTTCTTTGTTGTGAGGGCTTCTACTGAATTCTGTAAGTTTGCAAAGAAGCATATCGTGCCCGGTAGCCTAGCTCAGCTCAAAAGGGCTTTGCATTGTTACTTAAAATGAGAGCTTCTACGGTTTCTTCCCTATAAATTTTCTGCTTATTCTTGGGAGGTCGACTCGGTGCCATAGCCCTAACTATTCCATTTTTCCCTTCTTCTCTTTTTATGTTTTCTCGTTGAATGATACTTCAGTTCCATGGACATATGTTGTTTGTATTGAATTGTTGTTTCTTCTAATGATCCATGTACATGTGTACATGTAATAAATCAAATCAAATCAAAATTATCACCAGAAAAAGAGGGATTCTCTTTGCCTCCCTTGGGAAAAAAGAACCTGCTTTTTCTAAAAAAAGAACCTGCCTCACGATAAGGAGCTGCGAAAATGAGCTTGCTCAAGCAGTTGGGTGATCAATTGGACTATAGTTGATACAAAATATGTCATTACGATTTCGCATTCGTAAGTTGTATAGGCACCCTCAAATAAGTGCCATTCTCAAGGAATATTCCTTAAAAAAATGTGTTAGCTCTTCTTCAATCTAAATGCCTACAGATGAAACAGTTGTTCTTGTTGGGATTCTGCAGATACAAGTGTTCGTTGAATGAGTTTGTCACTTGAACCAGCGAGAGATTCGCATGGTTGGTATCTTCGCAACCAGCCCCGCGGTGTCAAGAGGCATGGAGTGAGCCTACCCGTGGCTTCTTAAACTGTTCCTTTTTTCGCCAAAT